CCCAGCGGGTACATATGGTGCTTCCCGCCCATAGAATCGGTCACGCGAGAGCAACATTTTCTTCTTGAGGAAGAAAGAACTACATCCTAAGGAAGAGAGATCTCGCCCCCCCCTCACTCTTTCGACGGCCTTCCTCTACTGTGACAAGGGGGGGGGGGGGGGGGGGCAACAGTGCTCACTAGATTTCAGAATATGCAGTGGCCTCCCAACGTTAATGTCAAAGTAAAGATGGAGGTTGATGTTTTCTCAACGAGATGAATTTAGCTTTCTTTCTTTCGGTTGAAATGATTATCCAGCGAAAGAGAGATTATCAAGCAACCAATACCGCACAGGGTTTGGGATGTTGGATATATATGCATGCCAACCTGAAAGGGTACGTAATTCGTGGGATCCTAGTGGGTATCGCAAAACAAGTAGTGTACAAATTATAGTTGTTCGACGAGATGCAGTATACATGACGTCACTGGCCCATATTACATGGTTAATAGTTTAGTTTGGATTTCGTCAATATTAGTAATAAAGTTGTTTGTAACTAACTAACTATCGTTAGTTACTAGCATGGAACGAGGTTTCGGATAAATATTTACCCGCTCCTTCGCGATTAATTTTTACCCAAGTATTGCGCGAGAAACCGATAACTAACTATTACCAATTCAACCTCATTTCTTCTTTTCATGCTGCATGATGGTGCGGGAAGTCCTCCTAACTGTACAATGAACCGAAAAGTGAAGGGATTGGCTATCGACTGAAGGCGGCAGGGTCGGAGAGTACTGCTATTCTCAATGGCTTCGAATGATCTCTCCCCTCCTCGATCACTAGGTCATCATAGCGTCGGGCTTCCATCTCCTAACCTCCTTAGTTAATCGTCCAGTAAGACGGAGCATCAGCCACACTCGTTCAAATATCTATATCATCTATCTCTTCATTTAACTAACCCTGTTATCCTTGCTTATGGACCACCAAGAACAGTCCATAAGATAACAGTGCCACTTTGCCAGTGCTATCTGCGCCTGCAAAATCCATGAAAGCACAATATTCTGACAGAACTGATGATTGAACAGGAGTTAAGAAATTCTGTCAGCCCGCAAGAAGAGGCTTTTACCTGAGCGGGTCTCTCACTACAATCCACATGGCAAATAGACAGCCACGGGACTTTTCAATTTAAACCTCAGACTACCCCACTGACGTGAAGAAAGCCTCAATTTTAGTGTCAAAGTCATTACGGGTACTACTGGCCTTGAATCCTCTTAAGCCAGAATGAACCTCGCCTAATTCAGTGTCAGATAATAATCCACTATGTTCTTCAGCTAGCCTTTCCTGCTAAGGGGCGGCAGAGCCTTTTATGACATTACAACCGCAGATTCATCCCCTCCTCTTGACTCATGTCTTATGATTTTCGATATTTAAAAAAAATCTACCAGAATCCGGGATCCCGTAATTTATGATCCCGACGGATTTGAGGCATGTGGCTCTCGCTAAAATAGGGTTCCCTACACAGTCCCGCGAACTGTCGCGTTGATTAGGGGTGTGGTATGGAGTTGCCTTCGTCCCATTCAAATGATAAACCTTCAGGGAAATCAGGTCTCCAATTTCAAATCCAGCCTGGCTTATGTAGGTTCAATGGGCGGGCTTGGATAAGTGCAGGTATCTCTGCTCAAGAGGAACTTTTACACATCACAGTTGACCCTAACTAAAGTTTAAAGTTGTGTCTCGAACTCAATAGTTCCCGCGATTATGCAGCTTAAAACATCCAAACTGACACCTCATATCAGATATGACATATCACGCCAAAAAAAGAACCCGGTCACATCATCTTACCAGCCGAATTTAAATATGTCCCGGTTTGCTTTTAAATTCCTGGGGCTGATTTCGTTCCGGGCGGCACACCTCGTGCCTAGATCGTGATCGAGAACCGGGGTTGTATGCACGAAGTTTTGATATGGATCCGGTATGATCAGAAATGATAAACAAAGTTTCGCTACGATGCCTTGATGCGATGCCTACCGAAGCTTGCCTGAATGTTATTATCACTTTGGCCCTACATGCAATGGGCAAAATTACCATAGGGAAAATGAATAACCACTTTCGAACCCTTGGTCGACTTTGGTTGACAGCTACGAACTCGCCATGCCATGGCAAGCCATTCCGGTTTCTACCTTCGATATAAAGGAACAACTGGGAACCGCTTCCCTTTCCTACGGTGTTTCCTTTATAAAACTCTCCCAATATTGCAACAGATTCAGTCACTCCCCAAATACCTGAAGATCCCACCCCAGGAGCCATGAGCGCCCCAACCCCGCCCATCACTACTAACAACGATCATGGCGGGTCCCGCCCCTCAGCCTTCCGCCGCTTTTCCACCCTCAGCACCCGCCTCCCAGGTGGCAATATCCCAGACACATTCCGCAACAATTTCATCGCTACCCTAGGGGAATTCGTCGGCACTTTCCTCTTCCTCTTCTTCTCATTTGCTGGCACGCAGATCTCCAATGAGCCCCCTCCAACCCCCGGCGCGAAACCAAACCATATCGCCTTGCTCTATTCCTCCTTGGCATTTGGCGTCTCTCTCGCCGTGAACGTATGGGTATTCTACCGTGTGACGGGCGGGTTGTTTAATCCCT